GTCGTCGTTCAAGCTGAGCGTTCGATGACGTATGCTGTCTAACTCACAAATTGACCAATCACGGGTTAGCGCTCGCTTCAAACTGACGTTTTGCAACGCCAACCTGTCCTAAGAAATACGAATCTGAGAATTTTCGACAAAAAATATTGGCAAACCTCTAATTAAAATGAAATTAAGATAATTCAGGTAAATTAAAGGACAAGGTCAAATGCACATGAGTAAGTAAAAAATGGGGAAGTGGCCGACGTAAACATTTCCCCACATGCGTTGTTATGCTCATCTTGAACCTTATGATATGCCCCACCTTTCCTCAAAGTTCATAACTGCTGCACAGAATCATATTGTACATTAAGTCTATTGCTTATTTTTTTTCTTTATAAGTATCTTCAGCAAGTTTTCGAATCAAAATATTAGCAATTTTAGTGAATGTTTTCAACAAAAAAAAGCTATTCAGACACTCAATATGCATTTTAATGTTGTTAAAAACCCGATTTGTTGGAACTATAAATTTAAATTTAATTAAAAAAAAGGAAAACCCTAGCTCCATTAACAGGGAAAAATCATTACTTTAAATTAATGGTGTAGTTCCTTCCTTTCTTTCCTTTCCGCTTCCCTTACTAAACTGTTTCCATTTATTAGAGCCGCGTCTAACAAACACAATTCAAATAGTAAGTCCTGCTAACTTCCCTGCGCAGAAAGAAAAACAACCCCAACCGACCTTTTCCCATTGACAGGCTTGCAAGAATAACTGATTTTATGACACTTTTATAACATCGTGTAAGACAGAAATAGCGCTATTAAATCGGAGCCATATAATTTTTACGACCTTTCAGTGGCTGACGCATTTCAACATCACGATAAGGGTTTGTCTAATAACAGCATTCCGAACCACAAACAGCAATAATAATTAAGTTTGATGTAATATCGTTGAAATAAATGAACTATTTTAATAATCCCAAGTCAAAACTTAGCCTCCATTCACTTCCCTGTCCCCTTCTTTCCCGAACGGACACATTATTAACAAAAGAGACTCCGTTAACTGAAAGTTGAGTATTTGGATATTGCTGTTTCGAAAAGAAATGTTCAAGAGAATGACGTCAACATCAATACTAGGTTGCTTGGCAACAATATTAACTGTCTCATCGGCTGATTTTGTTTATTAATTTTGGAATTTGAATTCGAAAGAATTTGAAATGCATTCGCTTTTCACTGAAGGAAAAATATTTGCTGGAGTGATTTTAAAATGTTGTGTTGAAATTGCATTTCACAACAGTATTTTTCATTTCCGTTTTCTATTTCAGTTCGTCTGAAAGGTTAATGGAAAAACACGAGTTAAATGTAAATCAAGTAACAGTGTATTTTATTAATAAAAATTAGTATAAGTATCTGAAAATAAAATTCTTTATTAAGTTGCATTATTAGATTATATCACACAGGATCAATTCTATTTGACACGATTAATTGCGCATTAATTTAAATGCAACAAATTACTGTACAAAGTTGTGGATTATTGTTAAAATTCTAATGATGCTTCGTGTAAAATGTTTGTTTTTAGCTTTTTTGAATACCGTTTTTGTGTAAACAAAACCCTATACGGTCTGAGTGGCAATAACAAACAATTTAATGTTTAATGTATTTTTGAGTCTTTGTAGCTAAAAATAATTACGCAACGATAACAAGGTAAATGTTTATTTAATATAATTCAATGAATATTTTAAAAATTAAATTAACTTAAAGGTTTTTTTTAAAAAAATAAGGTATTTCATTTCTGAGTTTTTTTTATGAAAAACCTTAATAATAAAAAAATCTTACTTAGTCTTGATGTTTAATTATCTTAACCTGCAGTTATGTCTAATTAAAAACATAAATCTAAATCTAGATTATGCTTTTCTTCTGGACTCAACAATGTTTAACGTAAGAACAATGCTTTTATTCTCAACTACAAGCACATTATTAATATTGTTTCACTAATAATATGTTTGTATCTTGAAACAAAATTATAAATTTCCAACCTTTTTTAAATTACTTCTCATATTGCATTACAAATATTTTCAACGCCCCCTAGAAAAGTATGCCTTTTTTTTTTAATGAAAACATTTCAGGTAAGATGCACTTTAAATATGTTAAAAACTATTGTTGACCCATACATTCATATCGGAAATAGTATTTTTTTAATAAATTTTTATGAAGGTAGCTCATATTTCAAAGTGTGTGCATAAAAATAAATTTGCTTCATCACCCTGCAATTAAAATTAAATAATCAATAAAACAATATTTCTAAATATTCATTGTTGTTGTTGTCGTAATCCATTGAAAAGTGTGTAATTGTTCTTGTATTCCAGTGGTGCCATCTATGGCCAAGAATTCGACTCTTAGTACACTCATATGTCAAATTCGTTTATGGGGCGAACCCATTCATACATCCATTCATTCAGCTTGTAATTTCGACTTGAACCAGAGAGCAATCAATATCCAATCCAGTACCTCCAGAGGCGCAATTTGTTATGGAAACATGGAGGATTTTGTGATCCGATAGATTTAACGTGCACCAGTCACCATTTACTACACGATGAGTCTTCGGCCGGCTGGATTTGAAATCCCGTTCTCATGAACGGAAGTCCAGCTCCCTGCCAACCAGGCTATCCCGGCTTTAAATATTCATCTAATATTTTATATAGGACAAAAGAAAAGTACTTCATGATTTTAATCTAGTCAACCTGCAATCTGTCATCAGTACTTTCCAGTACGCGTGCATTGCAAAACATTTTTGTGTATCACAACGCAAAAACTGGTGGCAATTCCTTTACTCCAAAGTTGTGTTGTGGAACCCCATACATAACAAAACCCTTGAATCTAGATGTTTCAATACGTAAAGAATGCTCTTTAAACGAACTTGGTGTAAAGTACCCACCACTTATTTTTTTTTTCATTCAGTAACTCTAAGATTTATAATTACGGTAGAATATAATACACATAGTCAGTAAAGCTATTTTTACGATACAATATAGAGTAACAAATTTTCACCTTTTCTGCTCAATTGTAAAGAATGGATTTTAATAACAGTTTACATGAGTAGTTTGTCAAATCAATCTGACAAGATGATTGAAATTACTTTGCAAATAATTGACCACAATCAACATACACTGTTGGACAAAATTAAGAGATGGAATTCATTTTCCCAAATATCTCAAAAAATACTGAATATAAATAAATGAAATTTGGTATGGATATAGCTTATTCCATGATAATAAAGTATGCAAAACAAAAATGAAAGTGCCATTCACTGGCAAGACCTATTGCCAATAAATCCAATGTAGTCTGAACTTAAGGATAAAAGATGACAATAAAAGTGAGGCTTGTACAGTGTGTGTTGCCTCTAGTATGGTGTATGGTCACCCCTGACAGACAGACAGCATGCACAACGAGTATGCATGCTGTTAATAAGGGAGTTAAGGAGGACTTGTGGAAGACCCTCCCATTCTTCCACCAGAGCAATTTTTAACTCCAGAATGGTTCTGGGGGGAGGTTGACGCATCGCAATAGCTTTCCCAAGAGCATCCCAAGCATGTTCAGTAGGATTCAGGTCAGGGGATTAGGCTGGCCAATCCATTCGTTGAATATCCTCGCTTTCCAGATACTCATCAACTATGAGAGCCCTATGTGGTCGCGCATTGTCGTCCATAAAAATGAACTCAGGACCAATAGCGCCCCTGAAAAGACACACATAGAGGTCTAGGACCTCCTGCCTGTACCTCTAGGCATTCACGGAACCATTGTCATACACATGGAGCGGTGTGCGGGTATCTTGCATGTGCGAATGAATGTGCGAAAATGCTTTTCATCTCTTAATTTTGTCCACCAGTGTACTTGATCAATCAACAAAAAGGAATGAAACTTACTTGGTATTAAGAGGCTATGATCAGTTTGTCATTAAATTTGACAAGAATATTAAAGTTAATTGAAAAATAATTGACTTTTTTCTTGCTGGGGTCGATATATAAGCCTAGTTAGACTTCGATGCCCGCCATCATAGTTTGAAAGTCAAAAGAGTTCATAACTTCAGAAACAAGTTGATAACTAAGTAAACTCACTCAGTATGTGTAGCTGGAGTCTTCTATGTTAGATTATATCATTTCTAACGCAAATGAAATTACAATTTACCTTTATTTTCCAAAATTTATAGAGCACCAAAAAAAACACATCTTCCATCCTTTTGCCAACCTTGAATGGCGTAAAAACATATCTTGGTATGCGTTTCATCAATTATTGGCGTTAAGATTTTACTACACACTTTAAAGTGTGTAGACTGCTTGATTTGGTAGTAGCTAGAAATTAAGTAATCATTCACAGTTTTTCAACACCAAATTCAGTTAGGTATTCCACCACAATTTTTATAGTGCAGTTTTAATTTCACTAGAGTGTCATAAGGCTCGATGAAATAAAAAGGGTATTGCAGAAACTTCGTGCAGAATTCTAAGGCAACTAATTTTGCAAGAACAAGTATTTTACAGTTACAAATAAACAAGTATTTTTTTCTTACAAAGACAATATTTGACTAGTTAGAATATGTTTCAAATTTCAGGACCTCTTAACATACATTACAATGTAACTAAGTTTTAATGTGATATTTAAAAAAACTATAGCAGTTCATATTGTTTATTATTTTGTACGGGAATTTCAGCTACTTAAGAAGAAATGTAAAAATAAAGTATTTTTTTTTTATAGATACAATTGACCTAAAGTTAAATTATCGCATTTAGAAACAGCGTAGAATGAGACTATACACTGCTCGTTTTATAGGATTTAGTTAGGAACACTTTTACCTTTTAACTCTTGATCATAGCATGATAACAAATCACGTTTCCAGCAAAATTAACTGTCCTTAAGGCATGCGAAAAGGGTTTTTTCATGTTTTTCTTTCTGATGTTGAAAAAATATTGTTAAATGAAAAGGTTAAAAAAGTAGTAAATAAGCATAATTTTCTTCTTCTCTTTTTACAGGAAACTGATTTTTTGGAAATATCTTCCATTCGAGACTCGAGAACGGGGAAGTATTCCAAAGTGCCAAGGGTAAGTGAATATAATTTTAATCAATTGGATTTTTAAAAAAAAAAACTTTATAGCTGATTGACGTACACAACTTAGTCAATTATATTACAGTATTAAAATTTGATTATATTGGGAATTAAAGGACAATATTTCCTGCCTTAAGGAAAAGAAAACAATATCTTTAAATGAATTTAGAGTATTTATACAATCCAATTGTTTCATTAAAATTTCCACTTCAGAGCTCTTTCAGTGTTGATTAAAAAGTGAAAGATATTATAAAAGTTTAAAATTTTTTTTTTACTTTTCATGATCCAAGATTTTTTTTCTGATTGTCCTTAAATTGTCACTGAAGTTCAGAAATTTATATTAGAGTTTTTGACTCTCTTAAGTTTATACTCAATTTCTTATTCTTAAGAGATACAGAGTACCATACTTTCAAAATCGAAAAATCGTATTCAATATCTCTTTAAAATAATTATTTATTTAAACCAATTTATTATTAATCATTATTTAATTATCCAAATAGCATTTTTAGTACAATATTAGAAACTCTATCTTGAAAAAATTTGAAAAAAATTATCTCTTTGCGGAATTAATAAAAGTTTTATTAATTATAAATTACATAATAGTTTAAGCAAGTATGCTTTAACGGAATTTCATGTAGCATTTATTTCTTGCCAAAAAAAAAAACAAAAAAAAGACTGTTGACTGGTTAGTTAACACACTGTAAAAAGTGATGTCTAAGTTTAATTAATATCACATTTTATGAATAAGCTTGGATATAAAAATATATGTAGCGGTTAAAAATGGTGGATAGAACGCCAAAATCTGTTTGATTGCTGGATTAAAGTGCCAAAAAAGTAAATGAAAGTAAAGTGCAGGTCTGTCTTTAAACTGCAATCACGCCAGTTTAAGTGCTTCATACACCTACCTTCCTTAATTGTGATTTGTTAAATCTCGACACAGTTTTTTTGCTTTCCATTTTTAGTTCAAATATTAATTTGCATATCTATGCTAGTATTTATTTTTACTTTACATTTGACAAGGATTCTAAATGTACATACATTAAAGGAGGTTGTTTCGAAATAATGATGTAATTAATTTTTAAATTCCCTGTATGAGATCAAACAAGGGGGAACGGTGAGTCCGTGAAGGAAAACTAAACATGCCGAAGGTGGCCGGTACAATATAGAGGTTCAAGCCGCCAGTTTTTGTGAGGTTGGACTTGCTTTTGAAGGCGCGTTGATTAAATTTTAGTCAAATTTTTTGTCTTGGTAATAAATAATTAATCATAATAATAAATAATTAATAAATAATCTTGGATAATAAATAATTAAACTTTTATTTATTACATCACATAAAAATTTATGTTAACTAGATATCATATTTTATTACCTTATTGAAAAATTAATGCATTTAATTTCTTCAACATGTTATTTTAAATTCTTTTACTTCAATAAAAACTTAAATTGTTTCAATAAAATCTACAATTATTCATAAAACCGTAGAAACAATTATTTTCCAATCTTAGCCTAATAGGCAGTTGCTTAGTTTCACGGAGGTTGTAGAAACCCATAAATTTATCTCAAATATATTTTGTTTTGGTATATATTCTTTCATGCTCTCACTAAATGGGAAGGGTATTTCATTAACTTTTGCCACATGAAACGTTATCTTATTTTCTTTGCCATCGAACCGCAAGCAATAAAATTTAGACAATAAAATGTATCGATACATTTTTCGTTATCTTGCTCGAACATGACACATTTTATGGTATTTTCCAATATTAAGAAAGTGGTTCTTCGAGTTGTTGTTCTCGATATAACTATTTTTTACAGAGATTTAAAATTTAGTTTTGCTTTTTTTTCCACCTGTGTCGTATCTATTTTAAAAGATTGTATTTGAAGAATTATTTTAACAAGCGAAATTACTACGCCTTATGTAACTAGAGATTGATTATTATTTTGTTGTTGTTGTTAATTTTATCTTTTTTTATAGCAAAAACAATCGTTGATAAATCTGGTAAAATTACTTCACTGAATTTAAACCCCTCATATGGTTATTTATTCGTTCATATGGAACCATTTTATCGGAAATTACAGTTCTCAAAATTATAGTTCTAGTATAGTACTCAACACATTCAGTAAAAATTGCAGAACTGAAAAACACATTTAATTGAATAAATGGTTTTTACACCCTGCTCTAAGATTTCATGGCAAAATTGCCAAATATTACCAAATTTTATAAAATATTATAAAATGAAATTTTATTGTTAATTTCAACAAAATCATTGCCAAAGCGTTTCGGTGAAAATTTCCATGGTTCTTGATTTTTCCATAGAGATAGAAATACGATAAATTTTACCATATTCGGATAGTTTTGACCATAATTAATTTATTAAGCTTGTTTAATAACTTTTTTGATCAAGTTTCAAAACAAGTAATTAAATAAAATTCAAACAATTGACTAAAAACTAAAAAAAAGCATTTTAAAAATGTTGAAACATGTTTCGCACTTAAAGTTTTCGATTATCAGACCAATATAGTGCTTTTTTTTAAATTATTTTATAGTTTGAAAGCAAAAAATAGTAAAAAGATTAGTTAAGGTATTCTATTAGTTTCTAATTTTTTGAATAATTACCAGATATACCCAAATACAATTCTGTTTGACAGAATTTTACATATTATAGGATTTTTTGTGGAATACAGTGGAGGAATAGTGTGGAATAGGAATTACAGTGCTTAATTTATCATTCACGCACTAACCATGTAGAAATGTATTTATAGAACCTTGTATTTAGCATGAGTAATGACCAAAGTGGCCCTTTAAATATTATGATAGGTATACCATAACACCAGGCAGTTTTGAGCATAAAGTTCTCTTTGGTGAATATAATGTAACCCAGCTTCATTAAAAGACAAGAGTATTGCAAAATATCTAAAACTAATATTTTTAGAGAAAAGTACACTCAATTATTAAGAAACTAATATATAGTTATAATTGAAAAGCCAGTGTTCCGTTATCAAAAATTTTCGTAAACGAGATCAAATGAACTACCATAGAATTTCACTGATCAAGTCTATAGTGTTTCTATTAAACTAATTGTGATTATATTTTAAAATTTTGAATGTCTGAGTGATCAACACACAAACAATCTGGGTTGGGAAAATCTGGCTCTTTTAGACTTTCTAGTGTCAAATGTAATTTTGTCAAGCACAGAAAAGTAGAGTGCACAAAAAACAGACCGCAATGAATCATATGATCTAATGATTAGAACTTAAAGTTCTAGGGTTCAATCTCACGCGGGTATAATCTCAAAAATCTTAAGTGCATTAGTGCATTAATTAGTACAGGGAATATTTTAAGTTATAAAATCAGGCACAAAAGTGTACTATTCTTTTTTTTATAAAGTCGTAATTTAAGTTTTGAATTCTCAGGAATTATTCAACCTATTTTACAAGCAATTTGTATTTTTCCATATAAACCTAAATTCTTTAAAATTACATAAAAATTTGAATACCTTACAATTCAAAATTCTTTCGACTATTATTAAATAAAATAATAAAATCGAATTAAAATAATAAATATTAACCAAAAGTTATTTTTTGCAGTGAATTATCTTTAGATAAATGGCTTTTATAATTGTGTTAAAAAAAATTTCAATTTGCTTTAAAAGTTTTCCAGATATGGCGAAATGAGAACAGAATAAAATTAACATTTACCCCTCTCCTGCCAAATTATTATGACTATATTTCCCAGATTGCGACTACCTCCCCATATTTAGGGGGTCAGAAATCCAAAGCAGCCTAAAAAAGGCATGTTTGTTCAAAGAAGGCTCGTTTTTGTTCATGATTTCATAAATTAATATATCGTCTCCACTAATTAATTATCATATTTGAAGTTATTTCCTCAAACCATTCAGATTGAGTCCTTGAACATGAAGATCCGATTCAGGATGGTCCATTTTTTTTTGTTGCTTACTGTAACTATTAAAAGCTGCTCACACTGATAGTAATATGGCAAGGTGCAATTTCATTGCCAAGTTTTATAGTTCCTCCTTATGATATTAAAGCATTTTGGTTCAAATTGTTAATACTGTTTACCGAAAATTCGGTCGCCACATAACATTTTTTAGGGAATTGCATATGCCATTTTTATAACTTTTGTGAGTCAATAACGGTTGTTTATGACTGTTAGATAGCTTTTTTCTTATCCTTAGCAGCACAATTTATACTATTTATGAAAACAAAAGTCATAATAAAGAAAAGCAACAGTTTAGTAAAAATAAAATGCATTTGGGATCTAATTTTTTAATATTTGAAACAGTATCCTAATGTTGCCTTGTCTTGATTCATCATAATAACAATTATGCATTGATTATCATGATTTATTTTCGATTAAGTTGAAAAAATCCTGGATAGTCAGATATTTTTTAACAAAACTTAATAATTTATTTAAATATTTAAGCTGTGTGTAAGTTTTAAAGCCCAAGGAATTTTTAACAGCAAAGATATAATATAAGGCTTAAAAGTTAGCTTTGGATCGAGTTTAAGGTGACTTAACATTGGCTTACTTTACTTTTCTTGGTGATAGAGATTAGAAAAACACCTTTAATTGGCTTCGTTTAAACCACATGATTTGTTAAATGTCAAAGATATCTCTTGTCTATGTCAACTTGAAAGAAAACGTAACAAAGAACTATTATTTACAATTAAAGAAAAGCGTAGTCAAGTGAAAGGAACTGTTTTTTTCCTCTCCAATTCACCGTAGAATTATCATAAAGATGAAATTAATGGTTTGATCTACGATCTTTTTTTTATCCCAATTTTTCATATTCTACGACATATTTACCAAAAATAAAAAATAGAATAATTCATTTTAGCGTTGTCAAAATCCGTAGTTTTACGTGAGCAATTGTAAAAAAAAAAAAAAAAAAAAAAAAAAAAAAAAAAAAACGCAGCGCTTTACAGTATATCATATCGATAATTTGACAGTTAAACAGACAGAATTCGACAGAATTT